GCCACTCCAGTACCGCTGCCTTTATCCAGAGGTTCGCCTTCAGAGCCTTGTTCGAATGAGAGAGACAGCAGGCTGGAGCCACAGGCTACAGCAGAGAGAGCTGGAGAGGAGATGACCTTGGTTTTACTCAGTCTAATGGAGCACTACAGGGCCTCACTGGGCCTAACACCCAGCACTGATATTACCACAGGAGCAGTAGGTATGCCCTCTGTCATCACCTGTTTTGTTTGTTTGTTTTTAAGTGTGCTGTCACTGACACATCAGAGATGTGTGGTGATGAGAAAGGAAGCAGAAAGTCTTTGTAGTTAAAGATTACATATATATTGTTAAAGAAGTACGTGCTCATAATAAACGTGGAAAAAGTTTCAAATAATGAAATCTGCATGCGAAGGATCAAAAAAGCTCAGGCTTCACACTCCTCCCAACACTTATTTTCAGGCAGTTTTTTTTTTCTCCACTTCTATATCTGTATGATATTAAAGAGATGCAATATCCTCAATATGGTCTTCTCCAGCACAATGGTATGTAAGCACAAAGGCCCCACCTACCTACTGTTAAAACCTTGTGTTTATAAAAAGCAGCAAATCAGAAAAAGCTGACTTAAAAAGAAAAACCTAGTCCCAGGATAAAACATGGAACTGAAACTCAAAGGTGGAATATGGCAAAAAAAACAAAAACAAACTGGTATGACTCCAGGAGCTATCCATCATAGTTATAAGTGGTTTAAATATCATCATCACCTACTAAGTGTCATGTGGAAAATTGATTATTAACAGCAGCATAATATGCAGTAACTCAAAGGGACACTCTTGTGATATGGTTGTTTTGTTTTCTAACTCGTGTGTCAGAGCTGCTTAGGCACTTGATAGCAGAAAGAGAAGAGCTGGTTGAAGAGGTGGAGACCCTGAAGGAGACACTCAGGGTGAGTTGTTGGTCTACAGGTTGCAGACAGTGAGCTTGCTAATTATTTAGCATTCAGAGCTGTGTTTTCATGCAGCATTTAGTGCTGCATTTGTCTAATTCTGTGCACTTATTTCTGTTTTAAATGTCATGTGACATCATTGCAACATTCACATTCCAACAGCTCTGGTCAGACTTAAATTCAGTCACACGGTACTGACTAGTAGACAGATATTTATGTAGTAATGACAATTGGGGAGCAAGCCTTAACGTGGAATTACAGTGTTTCTTTGTTCCTCAGACAGAGAGGTTGGAGTGGCAGCAGTTCCAGTGTGACCTACAGGTCGCTGTGTCTGTTGCCGACCGGCTCCGGGTTGAGTCAGAGCAGGCTCTGGGTTCACTCCAGGAGAGCCACAGGACTGTAAAGGAGCAGCTGGCACAGGCCCTCAGCAAACAGCAGGACACGGACCGAGAGCTAGAGAGGCTGAGAGCTGAACACAAAGACGCCGGCTGCAAACTGGCTGAACTGGAGAAGCAGCAGCAGCAGGATCGAGCCGAGCTCGATGCCCTCAGAGGTCAAACGTATAAAGATGCAGATAAACCAGACTCTGAGGAGCAGCAGGAGGAAATGCTTGAAGTTACAGAGGAAGCTGAAGCAGGGACAGAAGCTCATGAAACAAATAAAGAGGTGGATGCTACAGAAAAAGGCTGTGATCCTGAGGAGACGAGCGAATCAGAAAATGTGCAGCTGAAAGGGAAAGGGGTGGCAGAGGCATACATTCGCAGTTTGACTGCCCTGGAGAAGAAGAAAGGTGACGGACGTGGACAGAAAGATCCCAGAAAGATTGTGATGCTCTCTGAGAGATCCTGGTGAGTCTGCATAAAAGCTCAAACTGTGGTCTCCTTGTTGCGACAAAATCTAATCCAACACAAAATTGTTGTCTTCTTAGGAGTCTCTCTCGTCTCCCGCTTCCAACAGACTCTTTAAATCCAAATGGGGCTTCAAAAAACTTGAGTACAACATTGCCACTGTGCAAGGTATAACACGTTTACACTATTGTGATATACTGGGAGACACTGAGATGATCGATGTCATCCCATGTCGAATGAAATGTCAAATATGCCATTACTTAACGGTTTCAGAAAGAAGAGCCGACAAAAGGGAGGCGGATGGACCGAATTTTACAGAGGCAGGACAGCTGGTCGAGCTTTTACACAGGTGTGCTTCAGTCTCCCGAATCACCGTTAACCAAACCATAGCATCTTGTTTTATTACAACTGTGTCTGCATTTGTGTGATGCAGGAAAACGGGATGACGAACAAAGCTCAGATTCCTTCAAGTGAGTGGCTGATAAGCCTCATATATTGTTGGTAAAGATGATGCTGATGTCTTTGTGTGGAAAGAGAGGTTGGCGAGCATTTGTGGAAAAATAACCAAAAACACACTGTTACAATTGGCAGTTTTCAACTCTTTAAACCAAAAACAGTTAAAACTGACCCATATGACTTTTATATTTGTATGACTTTAGAATCGATTTGTGTGTTTGTCCGATTACACTTTTTTTCACTCGTGTTCTCAGGTTAAATGATTGAAACAGTTTGCAGTGAATGAGCAATTCGCAGTTAAAATGTTTCTCCATCTTCAGACCTCAGGATGGTTTCAGTGCTCTGCTGAGGCGCCATGGTGGCTCCAGGAGAAACTCCCTGCTGCGCTGGTGCCAAACTCGCACTCAAGGTTATAAGGTCAGAGAAGAGAACTTGAGCATTGCTGAGCTATATGAAGTCATGTGACTCTTTGTAACAAGTTAAATTCAGACAAATTGCAAATAATGTTTTGTGGCAGAATATTGAGATCACCAACTTCAGCAGCAGCTGGGAAGATGGTTTGGCGTTCTGTGCTGTTTATCACACCTATTTACCAACTCTCATCCCCTATGACAGCCTGAACCCAGCTGATAAGGTAAAACTCAAAACGCAATGATCTCACGAGAGAAAAGAAAGCACTCTTTAATTTCCATCTGCTGTCCCCGGACAGTTAAGCACAATATTAAATGACCTATAAAATACAAATACATACCAAAGACACCAGATTAAATTTGAATAGTAAACTCAAATGTGCAATGCTTAACATAATACAGCACAAAGTCTGTAAAGTTTCAGGGATATTAATCTTTCCAGTTAGGAAACATAAACCACTGTGAATCCATTTCACCTCCTTCTGTGCAAATTAAGTCACAAGGTGGACTGGAAAGGCAACAAAAAGACCGATCCCACAAATGGGAATGATTGTGGTGGCCAACATTGCTCTCGCTTGACTAATTATTCTCTAGTTACCTTTTTTTTTTTTTCTTCTCTTTTCTCTAATGTCCTTGCCACTACTGGTAGCATAAGACAGTACCTATTGTTCCTATTCAGGTTGCACAGTTAGTCCAGCTACTCCAGGATGGCACAACCATATGTGCCGCCACGAGAAGGTTTCCTGTGTCTTTCAGAATAGTCTCACAAATGTGAAGGAAACAGTGGAGAAGAGAGCTGGACAAGGTTGTCCGCACAGTCACAGACCCACAGAGAAGACCTCCAGTCAATGACTGGCAGCATTACCTTATCTTCACACTCCTTCACATGTGCTCAGTGTGAACCTACTCTCATCTCTGAAGAGAACTGGGTGCAAATGGCGAGCCTCAATAGGTCTTTGTTGTGCTGGACACGAGTCCCACTAAAGGACGCCGGGCGTTCAAATCACCCCCAAGGTCTCGGTCTCTGTAAGTTTGGTGAGAAACGTATACAAAGGGTTGCTGGAAGTCTGTCTCCTTCTGTTCCTTCTCACACAAAGGAGTAGATACAAGTCCATCTGATGGTTTGGTGCCCTTTATGACCCTCCTACAGCTCTCTGTGTGACAGACACGCGGTTATACATGTGGAACCTGAATAGTCCATATGTGCTATCTTAATCCTACTTGTCATCTAAAATGCAAAAATAAGGGCTATGAAGTATATTTGCATTTACACATTCATGTCTGTAAATGTTCATACAAAACGTGTCTTTATTTTTACAGAAGGCAAACCTGAAGCTTGCTTTTAAGACGGGAGAGAGTGTCGGGATCTCTGCCACACTAGTGAGACATTTTTGTTCTTCTTGTTCAACTCAGATTTGTGTGTTTTACACAAATAGCTCAACTTTAACATTATTATTCTTTATCTGCTTTTTAAAACTTCCTGTTTATCCTATGTGGCAGACAGTGGAGGAGATGCTGAAGGCAGAAGGACCAGACTGGCAGAGGGTCTTGGGATATGTCGAAAGTATTTTCCGCCACTTTGAGATGTGAAGTCTTCCGCCTTCGTTTTTTATTTCTATAATTATGAATCAGGAGCTGAACCACGGAGACACAAGACGGAGCTCAGCTCTCTAAACTAAAACACGCTGGCAATACTGGACTCCATGACTTAAGTTTAGGTACCAGAACAATCTTTTTCACAGAAACAAGTGGAAGAAACTAAATAGCATTTCACTATCTGAGCCATTTTTATTAATTTTTTTAAATCTTAAACATGCACAGAAGTTATTCTGGATCTGAATACCTGGCTCGATGAATGTGCACAAGACACAAATCTAAATATGCCAGAAAGACTGCACACTGAACTACTTCCACATAAACTGGGTGCCATCTGCACTGGTTTTGCACAGTTTGCCTTGGTGAAGGGGGAAAAAAAGCACTTTTGGAAATGTAGTGTAGGTTCCAGAATCTGGGTCACTTTATTTATCTCGACTAATATTTTTATCCTGAACTTCTTCTGCCACAATATGTATTTATGCATCAAAGCCTAAGAGCTGTATAAGGTAGATATGTATTCAGATTTTATATGCTGGAATAGTGATCTTTTAACCCCAAATCCTATATGTAAAAGAAAAATTGCCTTTAATGAAATGTATATATGTGAATACATGTAATCGATTCAGGTTTTTTTTTTTTTTAGTTTTTTTTTTTTAAAAGTATGGTAAACACTGGTATATAGATTAACTGCAATAATAAAGCATTTAAATGGAAATGAGTTTTTTGGGGGGTTTTTTGCACATTTTCTGCATTAACAATGCACACAGGTTCAGAAAACATTTTAATTTAAACAAAAAAGACATTTGACAGCATATCAAAATGGTACAAAACATGGCATCAAAGGAAATGATTAAGGTTAAGAAAGTGGTCATGGTGTAACATGTGACAAATAAATACAGAACAGTAAAGAAAAGCAATAATTAAGCAAGGGTACTTGAGATTAAACTGGAAAAGTTGTGTTGTCTTTCTTGGAATATTTAGTGTTTTTAAACAATAACCGCTCCACATAAAGACAGAACTGTTGACGGCATGCTGGATCTGCTCATAACTGCATGTATTCCAAAGTTTAAATGGAAGTATCCTTGCGAACAATGGATGGAAGTAATATTTCCTATGAAGCTGGAATGGCGCCTCCTATAGGTGGTGTTGAAAGTGGCGGTAGGAGAAGAGATTTCAGTTTAGCAGACATGGCTGCGATTTCTGGGTCCTGGGTTTCATACATCTTGACCAGTCGGGCAAATTTAAGGACACCTGAAAGGGAAGCAGATGATCAGCATGACAAATTATATCATCTCCCCAGAATGACATGCAGCCTGTAACCAGTACAGACTGGAAGTTTCCATCAAAAGGGATCTATTACAGTTTGTTACTGACTTTTTTGGATTTAATTAGAACAGATTTCTATTTCAACTCATCTTCCTTTAAAGCAACTCCCTTTTGATTGGCTGCACCTTGCAGACAGGATATTTAACTACAAGTAGGCGGGGCATCTGTGCTGTGTGCCTGAATTGACCTCATTAAACCCGAGCCTTCGGCTCCCAGGGATTACTTATACATACACTGATTTTATTATTTAAAACTTTGGACATGTTTAATTTGAAAAAATTCCCTGTGTGTGATTAAAAATTGAGGCCCATTTAAAATATGTCATTTAGTATTTATAAAAAACAGTGATGTGCATATATGTTTGTGACACTGTAGTGAGGATGATATTAGTTTTGATAATAATGAACTCAGTAGGTGGAATATAAGTGTTTTAAAGACACTGTCTGGCTTTGTTGTTGCATCTTAAAGCTCCTCTGTGGATTCAGGCAGTCTCATCTGCTGCCGTCTTTGTACCTAATCCCATAACAATTTCATTATTTTTCCATCGAGCCTCTGTCTGAGCTATGCAATCTGTTGCAAGCCTCCTAGTTATAACTGTCTTTATGTCTCGGGTAGTTGATCAGACATCTCTCCAATGTGTGACTGGTATACATCTAAAGTGACTACAACCCTGCAAAGTTTGGTTTCTGTAACAGCATTGTGTGGGAGATTTAAGGTGATGTCTTTAGAGATAGAAAACAGTAAGAAACGTTTAGATGAGAAACAAATATGATTTATAAATGCAGCATTTATTTGTTCTTCTTTGAGTAGTTTAATGTTTAATTCATACATTTAAGACCCAAATTAAATTATATGAGTACTCTGCGTCATATCAGCCAACACTAATTAGCACCGGTGGGATCATTTGTTCTAGTCTGAACGGTGTCTTAAAATTATTTGAACTTTAGAGTAGTTTCTATTGTTTTAAGCCTTCAGAGAATAATGTCTTACACTTGGTACTTTAACTCAGAGAAAGGAACCTGCTGTCCTGAAAAAAATTCCACAGATAATCTTACTACTATCTATGGTTGCCTCTTTGGACAGAGTTCATCCCTAATCATCTCAAAACCGGGGGGATTACAATAAAAAAATTTTCTACAAAAACTAAATGGGAGGCCAGCAGTGGGCGAGCTGCTTATTTTCACAGTACACTGTTTGCACTTTTTCTCTAACCTAGCAAAGAGCAAAACCAAGCACATTTTTAGTTTTAAGATACAAAAAAGCTCACCTTCCCCCTCATTGTTGAATCCGTAGGCTTTGATAACCTCTTGTTGAATTTGGGTGGCCACAGGGAGCACAAGCTGCAGCATCTTGCCCATGTCGTTGCAGGCACTCTCTCTGGCCTCCTCCATCCGTGCGGCATTCTCCGGTACTGAGAATGCCTGGATCACCTCGCTCAAAACCACTGTGAAAAAAAAAGCTTTTTTAGTAGCTGCTCCACAAAGTAAAAAAAAACCAACCTTTTCCTGACATTGCTGCACATTTTAGAAGAAATTATCAACTTAATTAATCTCAGCTCTGCTTTTCGCAGGTGATGTGGTTCTGTTGGCTCGCACTGGAACAGTTTGCAGCCGAGTGTGAAGCGGTGGGAATGAGATTCAGCACCCTAAATTTTGAGGCCATGGTCCTCAGCTGGAAAAGGGTAGAGTGCCCACTCCAGGTCAGGGATGAGTGGAGGAGTTTAAGTATCTGGGTTTCCTCCAAAGGGTGGCTAGCCTCTCCCTTAGTGATAGGGTGAGGAGCTCGGCCATCTAGGAGGGGCTCAGAGTAGAGACGCTGCTCCTCCACATTGAAAGAGCCAGTTGAGGTGGTTCGGGCATCTGACAAGGATGCCTCCTGAGCTCCTCGTGGGACAGGTGTTCTGGGTATGTCTCACCGGGAGGAGGTCCCGGGGCAGACCCAGGGCGCGCTGGAGAGATAATATGTCTCGGCTGGCCTGGTTTGGTGTTCCTCTGGATAAGCTGGAGGTGGTGGCTGGGGATAGCTAGGTCTGGGCTTCTCTGCTTGGGCTGCTGCCCCGCAGGTCCCGGATAAGCGGAAGAACAAGGATGGATGGCAGTACAGTAACTAATCTGGAGCCTGAAAATCACCATCACTAATTCTTCTTCTTACTTTTCATGAACAAAGAAAGTGCACCCCATCCAACTCCAGGGCCCTATACTACAAAAAAAGTTCACAACACCCAGGCTATTTTACCGTTATCTAGATTCACTTATGCTAACACTGGCGATCAGGATAAAAGGTCACAAAAAGCTGGTTATCAGCTCAATAAGTTAACCCAGAGTTTCTCTTGTGCGTTAACACAAGAAGGGTGGTATTGGCTGCATCTAACCAATCTAAAAGAGGCATTTCACGGATCATATGACTCTTCTTCCACACAAAATGATCCCTATGAGTGTCACCTAATCCAGAAACTATCAATGCGTGATTAAAAGTCTAGGATGAAAGCTTTAGATTTCGGACACAAAACAGTAAAATAAATATTTTCATTCCAGTTGATTATTTTAACACTGAGTGCGCTCTCAGTCCTGCTGTTTATTTCTAAGGTGATGGCTGTGCATTAGAGCTCTGAAACTTTAAACTGGATCCATTTGAATATTAAAGCTTACTGTCCCACAGCTTAATACTATTATTAATAATATTATTCTGAATAAAGGAGATGTTTACATTGCCATAGTTTATTGCTGATAAAAGTTAAAACCATATTATTGATTGAACAGGCATTGTTTGTGTGTCCTGTGTTCTAGTAGCTGTAAAACCACCAGAGTAAAAGATTAGAATTAAGCATAACAGCATTTTATACATTTTCTAAATCACCAAGTTAATCATGCACATTGCCGTTATAATATGACTCACAGGTTGTGCTTCATTCAGTGGTTTTACTAAGGTACACATTAATAAGCTGCACACACAAGCACAGACCAGCATACAATCTATGTTGCAATTAAAACGTGCTGTGAATAAAAGGATCAGTGAATCACGCCGCTTCCAGTTGATTTTAAACTTAAACTCAGAACATAACCCGCTCTTAAAAATGTAAGTTTTTGGACTCTCAGCTGCAGACTCAGTGCTGTTTAAGGGCTTGAAAGTAAATATTAAATATAAAAACAGAATTCAAACACAGGATTACTACAAATTTGATATGAGGTCATTAAGGACAGTGTAGCCGTCCTGTTTTAGGTTTATATATTACTACTTATTTTATATTACTATTTATTACTCATAAAACAAAAAGCTGTTGTAAAATTGTTTGCTGCCAACACAGAAAACAAGGAATAAGTTGTGTCTAAAAATCTGTATTTATTACTGATGCTCATCAGGGAAACACAGAAACTTTACATCCTACAACTCTCCCCACAGAGTTCTCCCGGGTCTTCCAGGTTAAGTCTACAGCATAAATTACCGTGATGACTTACCTCGGTAAAAAGTGAACCACCTATGTAGTACAGAAAACCTAGGGTTAACCCTGAAGCTACCTGGATAATCCAAAATCATGCTGACAAGTACAGGTCTCGGTCTTACAAATGCAACGTACGAGTACTTGCCCAGTATTTATTCAGCAACAATATGGACCACCTGGGGAAGAGTAAACAAGTAGAAACGGGAGCTTTTATATATATAAACCAGCTGTTCCTCTCACCTCTGGTCTGCTCAACTGTCAGAGTGGGCTGCTGTGCTGGAGCTGAAGCCATGTCTGCAGAGAAAACAGAAAGCCACGAAAAAAATAAAGCTACTGTAGACGCATTGATGTAGACAAAATTAAAAACATTTACATTTTGTAATAATAAAAGTAGGAAAATTAAAGGAAGATCGAGGTAGCTTCAAGAATATGAAGCATCTTTGTTTTATTGAAATATATTTTAATGTATAACATAATGATAACTGTTAGCTTGATAAACCAATAAAAAAAACATAGAAACCGCAATAATAGCACAACGACACGTATATATAAAGGAGACGTGGTGGTTATGTGGTGATTAGCATCTGTCTCCGATCGTTCATTCAGTAGCTTCAGTAGCTTAAAATTTAACGGTTATCAACAGCAACAGCAGCTAAAAATCCATTTATTTATTTACCAAACTAAATGAACATAAAACAGTATAACATTTGGGGAACTCACCTCTACTGAAAACAATCACTAAGCTAGCAACAGAACTGTGAAACTGTCGTAAAACGGGGACTGTTGGAGGCTTCTTGCGACACACCATCCTGCTTTCAGGTAGACGTCGACGTAAAATGTAAACATACCTGTTACTAAGCTAGTAGCAAGTCATCAAACTTAGACTGAAAGTTCGTGTGTGCGAGAGAGATTTACTGTGCTTCGAAGGGCTTATAACTTTAACGTAAGCTTATAGAAGTTGTGAATGAGTTGCTGTCGGTTCTTAATTATCCATGGAGCAAAAGCTGGCAGAGTTCAGAGCCAGACGACAGGCTGAAAAAGCTGCTCAGAAGAGTGAGACTACTGGTTCACAATCCAGAGGGGAGACAGCAGCAGACACCGCTGCTCAGTGTGATAAAACACCCACAGCTGACAGTCTGCAGCCTGAAGACAGGGCACGAAACAACCAGACTGCGACCGACGGCTCTCAAAGCAGCGTAAGAGATAATTTCAATCGGGAAGCTCATGAACTTCCCGATTTAGCTTGTTATTTTAAAGATCGGACTGTGCGTGATAAATAGAGTGCTTCGTCTGCTTTGCACTAATAGTATTGTTTTACAATTGGCAATAATTTAAAAAAGCACACTCACGAACAATGACAAAGTAAACCATCAAATATAACAGTAAACAAACGCACAGACCACATCATTAGTTACACCTGCTAAAAGTGATTTCCATCGTTTCTATTTTTTCATATCTAATATATTTGCCCACACTGGTAAATAGGCTGTAGTCAACAGGATTTACGAAGGGTTTACATATAAAATAAAGAGTTAAATAAAGAAAATAAATTGAAGGTATTTCCATGACGTTATTTCACCTACCCTGTTTTCTACATTGGCCATTTAAAATATCTTCTAATGTTATTGGGGTGTTTTGTTTTGTTTTGTTTTTTTACTCAAAATGACTTGATATAATTCACAAAAAGATATGTTTTAGATACTTTTGACAGATTATAGGCCAACAGTGTTTACAACAGTGTAAAATAAGCAGTCCTTTTTTGTCAAGTACCAGAATACACCTTCTGGCATTTCGTTTGAAATCAGGTTGGACCTCCTTTATCCACCAGAACTGCCTATACTATTTGTGGGATAGATTTAACAAGTTGCTGGAAACAAACAAAATCGCAGAGGTGCTCTATTGGATTGAGATCTCATAACTGTGGAGGCCATTCGAGGACTGTGAACTCATTGTCTTGTTAACAAACCAGTTTGAGATGATTTGTGGTTGTGACATGTTACCCTGCTGGACAGAGCCATTAGAAGATAGGTAAACTGTGGTCATAAAGGTATGCACTTCTGGGTACCTTGGTTGTAATGATTGGTTGAGTTACTGTTGCCAAAAAAGTGTTGGCTTTTGATGGCATTATCTACAAGAGAACTGCTACCCACTGGATATTTTTTCTTTTTTGAACCATTCTCTCTAAAGATTAGAAATAAATGCCTTTGTGGGAAAAATAATAAAGTAGCTGTATTGATTGCGATGTATTGATTTGGAGATCCAAGCTATTTTTTGTAAGCTCATATTTTTTCTCAGCAGCCAAGGAATACTCACTGTACTGTATATGTTCATTTAATCCCCACTAAGTCATGTACAATTTGTGAGCTGTTTCTAAGAAAACTGACATCCTATTGTTTATTTATTTTATCCAGTTTGGTGTATTTGTAGCATCACATGTTTTTATTCTTCTCTTCTTCTTTTTCTGTTGTGTATTCACTATAGGATCGTGGAGACTGGCTGCTGGATAGCGCTCTGGGAAAGTGGCTGGCTTCCCGACAGTTTGTCATTTCTAACATCACTTTACTAAAAGTGCTGCTATGGCTGGTTCTGCTGGGTCTGTTTGCCGAACTGGAGTTTGGTCTCCCCTTTTTTGTCATCTCTCTCTTCTACTGGCTCTATGAAGGACTCCGGAGCCCAGCGCCGCGCAAGCCTGGTGAACTGAGTGCTTATTCAGTGTTCAATCCAGACTGTCAACCTCTGCTGGGTGCTCTAACCGCAGAGCAGCTAGAGGGAGAGATGGGCTACAGACCTCTGGCAAACAGATGACTTGCCTGTGATATGCACATTGACATCAAATATTTAAATTTTCATCTGAAAAATGTTAACTTTTCTCCCATTTTTTTAGTTGCTGCTTCTGTATGCCACATTAAAATGTAACTGGTCAGCCAAAAGTTTTATTTCTGTTTCTACTGTAAACTATTTTGATAGTGTACATCAGTCATATATAATGGCTAAATCATGATGGTGGGTTGGCATGTCTGTAATACAAGTTTTTTTTCCATTTAAACATGGATGTACTCCTAATTCTCTGATCAATGTGAGTTTATTTGAAAATACAGAAGCCATATTGAGGATTAAAGAAAAAAAACAGCCTCTACTGAGTCAAATGAACTGCTTTTAATTTAACTCAGTAAATGGCTATTTTATTTTATTTTATTTTATTTTACGTTTACATCTTAATTTCTTAACTTTACATCTTTGTGTTTTTTCTTTAGCTACTAGAGTAGCTCAAAATAATCTGTTGTATTCTAGGCCTTTAAGCGACCTTACTGCTGATTGGTTGCTCCTGTCAAACAGATGATTGAAAAAGCATGTGGGCACTCACTAGAGATGACCAAGTATGTGGTCTTATTGATATCACACAGGGTCAAGTGTACAACAAGTGCTGAAACCCTGCATTTAAAGCAGCAGCTTTTGGTTCTCAATGATTATTTGTGCAGACACATGAACATCCACTACTGTAATGCTGCACATGACAGAAAATTAGAAGGAGGGGAAAAAAAGTACAGATGTCCGATAACAAATTGTGTTTGCGATTCACGAAGTGGAGTTCTAAAATGCAAAACACAGCTTTCTCACTGAAAACAGAATTACGGTCAAGAAAACTGAATGTTAAATAAAATTTAAACAAAAAACTGTACGGCTGTCCTTCCTTTCCTCCCCTTCGACGAAACCGGCGGGCACTTTGACCCGTCACATATGTCATTACAGAGAAAACGTGTTTCATGAGCAAAAGCGAAATGGTTCACCTCCACATTCCGGTACTTCCGTAACGGTTTTACATTGTGATTAGACCAGTTTTAAGCAAAATTTAACGTTGTTTTGCGTAACACAAATTCGAATTACTTAAACACATTCATATATGAGAGATAATCGCTGTATTTTAATCCGTGTCGGCGTTCTTATTATTTGTTGACGGGTTCATTCTGAAACGTTGCTGAGAGGGGGGTACATCTTATCTTGTGGGGATCAAAGGTCTACCACTTACTGCATCTCCCTTCTTCACAATCTCCAGGTGCAGTCCAGGAAAACTGTGGCTATTGCACAGCGTTAGCATCAGTAAGTACTCATCAAAGTTAAGAGGATATATTTTTTAATATTCTTCATTTTAGATTTTTAGTCACCTAGCTTTGAGCTATAGCATGGTGGCTAATTAGCCTTAACTGCACGAGCTTACTTAGAATTCCGTTTACACCCGACTTTTAGTTACTTAGCTAAACTAATCACGCTAAAATGCAAAGTTAACTACTTAATATTTAAGCTACGAAGCTGGTTATCGAAAGACGGCATTCACTGAGTTTTAAACTATCAATGTTAGGCTGTTATTAAGTACATTTAGTACTGTACTTACTAAAATGCAATCTTAACATACTTAAACTTTAGTCTTGTCTATTTGTGAGACCTTATACCTGTACTGCACTATATTTCAGCGAGTAATGTTTATGTTTGTGTAACAGTTTAATTACTTTACAAATTTATGCATATGAGTACAAGGTATACTAGAAATTATTGATTTACACAGTAAAGTACAGCTGAATGATTAGTCAATTAATCAGCTGCTGCACCCACAGCATAACCTATGCCACAGATGACCATATTCGGGATATCCACATCCTTTAGCATTATAGGGAGTGGAGAGTGGAAAGACCTGCTTGAGTAGTTGTTTTTAGACCAGTCTGACCTGTGTGTCTATCTATCTATCTATCTATCTATCTATCTATCTATCTATCTATCTATCTATCTATCTATCTATCTATCTATCTCACATTAAAGTGACATTTTCGATTTTCGTTACTTGTAGCACTTTGCTACAATATTTTGCTAAAATATTGGCAGATGATGGCACTAGTGTTGTTGTGAATTAATGGGACAACTGCCTTTAGCTAAATATTTTCATTTGAATGTGTAAATCTTATTAAAATAACCTAAAAATATTTTTTTGATGTACATTAAGATAAGAAAAATGTACAACAAAAAGAAGCTACTATTATTTTTCTGATATTAGTGTGTTGTGATCAGCTTAACTTCGTCATTAACTCTTGTAGCTGCAGTATCCTATGTATTCTTTTAATTTAACTGGGGGATTGTAAAAGCTATTTGCTTATCCAGAGTATTTGGTATTTTTCAGCTATTATTTAAGGAATAAATCCAAAAAGGACTTGTTTTTTTGTTAATTTTAAGGGTCATCATTGTTATCTTTTATTTAAGATATTATATTTATCAACTGGAGTACTATGCATTTGAGTTTTTAAACCTGGCTATAGCAGATTGGCATAATGAACAAAATCACTCCTAGTTTTATGAGTTTTACTTTCTTCTGCCCTACACCAACCAGAAAGCAATGTCTGGAAGTCCTGCTGTTGTTATGCGACTGGTGGCCTCAGCCTATGCTGTGGCTGAAAAGGCTGGGACCATTGTACGGAAGGTCCTTCACAGTGGAGAACTTGGTATTGTGGAAAAGGTATGACCCCACTATGTGCATTTTGTGGTTTAACAACACTAGCTGCACTCATGGTTAAACATATAAGTTTAACATTTCTGTTTCTACACAGACAGGCGCTAATGATCTGCAAACACTGGCAGACAGACTAGCACAGCAGAGCATTTGTGCTTCACTGTCCAAACGTTTCCCCAAAATCACCATAATTGGAGAGGAGGTAAGTGTCAACAATATTTAGCCAAATTATTTGCTGTGGATACCTAGACCTAAAAACATCCTCGTATTATGACAAAGCTCATGAATATTTATATACTTTGTTCAGGATCTTCCTTCTGAAGTGATACAGGAAGATCTAATTGAGACTGGCCAGTCAGAGGAAATTCTTCAGAGAAGTTGTCCACCTGAGTACAGCCAGCTGAAAGAAGAAGAGGTAATCACATGTGGGTTTAGTTTCAGAGGTTTAGCACCTGAATAAAAAAGTATTTTCTGCTATTACAAATCAGTGTTGTACAGTTGTTGCTTGGACACTGTTTACCTCCTACGGTGTATACGTACTTGTTCTGAATGTGTCTATCTGAATTTCAGATAGTTGTGTGGGTAGATCCTCTTGATGGCACAAAGGAATATACTGAAGGTATGCTCTTCTAAAGCATGTCTTAAAAATCTCCTCCCATCTCTGTGTATTCAGCTGCATAAAGCTCTCTGTGCACAAGCCTGCTTGGTTGCTTTCTGGTTCTCAGCTCTCAGAACTTCACTGCTACTTTTTTTGCCTCTTCTTTGTGCATCCCTGCTCCTGCTTATCCACCTGTCCGCTGTCTTTCTGCTGACCCTAGCATCGAGGTGTTTCCATTTCCAAGCTGTGGCCCAGGCACCACACAAAGGGTTGGACACCCCTCAGCCTCACAGCACAGCTCTCTGTATGGGAAGGCAACGGTTAAGCCGGGCCTTGCAGAATATTAATTATTATGGCCACACTAGAAATATTTATGAGTGAAAGTGCAGTAATGTCGTTTAGTGGCTTCCAGCTAACATCCTGCGGCTTCCTGACTTCAGGGCTCCTGGATAATGTGACAGTGCTCATTGGGATTGCATATGGAGGCAAAGCCATCGCAGGCGTGATCAACCAGCCGTTCTACAACTACCAGGTACAAGCCAAATCAAAACTGTGTTCAAACTGTCTAACAGCTTTGCTATATAGTGTGTCGGCTATTTTGTAGTACTTTTTGTAAACATCATTCACCTTATAGTACACAACAAAATCATCACAAGACACACTAAAAACAGCGCACAAAAGCTGCACAGATGAAAGAGCCACCAGAGATGGAAATAATGTGATTTTCTTACCCACTGAGCATGCTGTACCTGGTGAGCTTGATGGCTTCTCAGAGGCAAAATTAGATGTCTCAGCTGTGCTGTGGCCCATCTTCTCCTGATAAACGCTGACTAGAGCCATATTTTAGTCTTCAGTTGCTGAATTGCATTGTACATCTTAGAGATGCATTATAAAATAGCTCGCTTATTAAAAATCTACATGCAAGCTATAACAATAGGCCAGCAGCTTAGCATCTGAGTGAGCAATATAGCTTTAAAATTATAACACAATAGTTCAATGAAATTTGCAATGATGATATTAATGATGATTAACTTTTTAACTTCTAAATTTAGAATAACTAAAGTAATCTAACCTTGTAACTCTCCAGGACCTGCACGATATTGACACCCAATAAAACTGAAACTGAAAAAAAATTTCTACCTGGAATGTCGTCACTTCCGTCAAGCTTTTTAACCAGTTGCTTGAACCCCTGCTTTTCCACCGTTCGATATCTGGGCTTGTCTCATTGTTGTGCACATTAGGGAATGTAAAAGCATGATATCACAGTAGGACTCTTGCAGCTGCACATATATGTAACAGAAACAGTCTGTAGTAGTTGAGTGAGTAAGGTTAATTGTGACATTTTCAACATCAGCTTGGTGCAGGAACACAATTAGGAAGAACCATGTGGGGGATGCTGGGATTGGGCGCTTTTGGGTTCCAGCTCCAGGAAGTTCCAGGTGACAGACGGATTGTCACCACCACCCGTTCCCATAGCAACAAGCTGGTAACAGACTGTGTGGATGCCATGGAGCCTCACGAAGTTGTACGAGTGGGTGGTGCTGGAAATAAGGTAAGATGGATCTAAAATTTTCTTCTGACAGTGGTAACAACTCTGTGTACTTGTTCGGGCAGGGTTTTTTTAAAACTTATCAACATTATCTTTAATTTCAGAGATCATCAAGACATAAAAACTGCACGTATAGAATGAACAGTCAGTTGATTGATTCCCCGTGTGCCATCACGAGCTTTGAATCCACAGGTTCTGTTAAAGTAGGGTCCTGTGCTCTTCTTATGCTATCATAGGGATTTGTCTGCAGGCATACCTCACATAATCTACCAAATGCACCCTTCATGCATTTATATCCCACTACTCCATGGCTTTATTTTATGTATCGTCCTGGAGTTTGTGCTTTGTTTAGTTTATTGGTTATCAGCTCTCTCTGCTCTTCTTTCCTCTCACCCCAACCGGCGTTCTCTTTACATTAAAAGATTGCCAGTATTGCAAAGTAGCATTCATAGAAGATTGTTGTAAATGTGGTTTTCTCTCTATTGTTGCAGGCTCTTTGCTTTAGTTTAGCACCCCATTATGAAGGTGGTGAAGGTTGTTACTATATAAATAATAAAAGAAAGATGTAAATCAATATAAAAAAAAGTGCTAACAAATTGAACTCACTTTTTTGCATTAGTGACCAATGAATTATGAAGCAGTGAGATTTTTCTTTTACATTATTAAAATTAAAACTTGGAAAAGTGAATGCTTTTGTCTAGTTACATAGATAAATTCTACACAGAGAGACTGAACGTACATTTTTCTGTCCGTGCTTCTCTACCTGCAGATTATCCAGCTTGTTGAAGGAAAAGCTTCTGCCTATGTCTTTGCTAGTCCAGGGTGCAAGAAGTGGGACACTTGTGCTCCTGAAGCAATCCTGCATGCTGTTGGAGGTGAAAACGTTTAATCATAAAGCAACATAATGTCATGTATAGACACTGTTTTTTTTAGGGTTTAAACCACTTTCTAAAATCGTTTCCCAAATATTTCCTGATCATCTCTTTTTCTAATGCAGGTAAACTGACTGATATGCATGGAAATGCATACCGCTATGATGCTAGTGTAAAGCACATGAACTCTGCCGGGGTTCTTGCTACACTCCGTAACCACAAGTACTACGTCAGCAGAGTACCACAGTCAGTGCTGCAAGCTCTCAAGTCAGACTGAGGTCTGTCTTTATGTTGTCAAAACATACAGTGTAAAATCACTGTTTTGTTTTTTTATTAACCACATTATTTGACTGGTGTATCTAATTTTTAAATGTAACTAGTAACAGCAGTTTTGAGGGTATTCTGTGTTCCTGTGCCTAAAACAAATCACCGTGATTTCTGAGTGTCAGCAGACTAACCAAACTACCACTATGATCTGCACTAATTTAATGAATCAGACACAAGTATTAAAGCAGGCTTAACAGCACTTCCATTTATTTCACTCATTTGAAACAAACTTGTACAAATCTCAGAACATCTTAACATACGGTTTCTCAACTTGAAGACCAATAGATTTACAAGGCAAAAGGCAAGATCTGAAGGTTAAATGTTGGTTAGTGAGTTGGAAATGATGTACTGTACTTGATTCGGTAACCACAAAGTCGGAACAGTCTATACGTAATGCAATGCCAACAACAAACAAAATGCAGGCATCTTGACTTGATACATTTTACCCTCTTTTTACACACAGTAACAGAAAATGCATTCTGGACAGTGAAAGAGGGCAATGGTCAAACCCCACTGCTGTGAAGAACAAACATACAACTGAGCTGTGAACACTAAAAATAAACTGACAACAACTAGTTAATCCTGTATTTGAAACCTCGTCTTATATCTAACAAGATGCCGTGTTCTTCATTTTCTTACCTTCTTTTTCTCTTTTTTCACACTGGCACATCTGTCTACTTTTCTACACATTTACTGTATTTATCAGACTAAAGGACACACACTCAAAGTGCTCTCTGAGCGGTGTGGGTCCATGATGTCTGGATTTTTACTTCAGAAGCAAAAAAGGAACCATTTACAATGTTGCTTTATCGATATTTTATAACAATAATGGAAACACCCACTAATGCTTGTTCAGTGATGTGAGGGATTAAAAATGTACACAGTACAGTATGAGTTGTGGAAAAATGGACTTGAAACACTACGAGGAGCATCGGCTTTATACAAATGCCCAACTAAAGATTTAGCACAAGTTGGCATCTTTTTGAAATTAAGAGGCTTTAATAGCCCCCTCACATAATTGTGCTTGCATACAGCAAGATTTCTAGCAATATTTATTGCACTAACATCATAAAAGTCTGTGGATTTTATTGGCATCTCCATAGGAAGAAAACATTCTTGAGTCGTAAGAAAAGTCTTAGCTGTCACATTTAAAGATAAAATTCAACATTATGGGAAATATGCTTTGGCCGTACCTGCCAAGTGTGAAATTCATGGTGAATTGATTAACGGTTCGTTTGTTGTGTTGTTTGGGACTGTAGGTACAGCTAACAGAGCTCAGCATAAAGACTGGAATCAAGTGTCTAGCATGACTAGCAGAGCTCAAATACAACATATCAGCACCTCCAAAGCCCAATAATATTAACAAGAACGTTAACAATATTTGGTTTATCTGGACGAACAAAAAAAAAAACCCACACTAATTTTAAAGGCGTTCTTTGAGTCAACTTTAATGCTGTACACCATGTACAGTACATACTTATATAGTATGTGAATTTTAAGAAGGTAGTCCAAATTTGATTGCAATCAAATTCAAATTTAATTTGTGAATAAACCTAAAAAAAAAAATAGTACTCGAGGAGCTAAATCTAACAATCGACCTGGTAGATACTTTGCTCATGCTACCCTGCAGCTCAGTCTCACTGCAAAACCTGAAGGAGTAGACAAACGACTAATTGTGAACACAAATTGTCCTTTTTGTTGACACTTACCCCAGCACTGAATTTAATGCACTTCAGTTGGAAGTACCTCTTGTGCCCACATGTGCTGCTTTAAAACATTTGCTACAACATTTGGGGCGATCGTGGCTCAAGAGTTGGGAGTTCGCCTTGTAATTGGAAGGTTGCCGGTTCGAGCCCCGGCTTGGACAGTCTCGATCGTTGTGTCCTTGGGCAAGACACTTCACCCGTTGCCTACTGGTGGTGGTCAGAGGGCCCGGTGGCGCCAGTGTCCGGCAGCCTCGCCTCTGTCAGTGCGCCCCGGGGTGGCTGTGGCTACAATGTAGCTTGCCATCACCAGTGTGTGAATGGGTGGATGACTGGATGTGTAAAGCGCTTTGGGGTCCTTAGGGACTAGTAAAGCGCTATATAAATATAGACCATTTACACCTGTTTAAACCCAACCCATGATCTTTTCCTAAATCTAACCAAATATTTTTGCTGCCTAAACCAAACCAACACCCCGAACACAACTAAAGCCTCAAAGTATCAATTAGGAAAACTTAAAATTGTTAGTCCTGAGTGTCCCCAGAGTCTTTTGCACTTTCAGACTGGAAGCACAACAATTTGTGTCTTAATTAATGGATCTGTGCTCATGGCACATCTGTTTTGCAAACTAACACCCGTGATGGTGGGAAATGCACTAATGCAACAAACAGCCATTCCTTGAGAGCACATCCATACTTTTGAAAGCGTGACAAGTATTGAGATGCAATGTGTCCTTAACAAGAGATCTGTCAATTTAAGTTTTATACTGGGAAGTCTGAAGAGTGATTTCAGGCCCTTGTGCTAAGCTATGAAAGCCATATTTAACAGGTGAGAAGTCTTACCTGATATTTTGCAGGAACACAAAGGAGCATATTTCCCAAAATGTTTAACGATTTAACCAGTGTAATACTTGAGATAACACAGTGGGAATCGAGATGAGACTGGAATTATTTGGACCTGTAGGCTGGGAGAGTGCTGATTTTACACATTGCTTAAACAAAGAGCTCATCTCAATCACACAAGCGTGCATGCATTTACAAAACCACGATTTTTTTTTTTTTAATCTGAAGGCAAAGAAGCATCTCGCCCATTTCGAAAAAAGGTTGGTGTTAATATTCCTGAATGAGCTGAGTAAATACATACTGTAGCATTAAAAAAGAAAAATCACTCACATATTCATAAAAATACCCACAGAACAAGCAAAACAAAAAACCCTCTCTTTGAGTTTTTATTTACACATGAATAAACTGACTGAGAAGGCTGGAGTGTTTGAGGCAGCCTGCAGGGATGTGGGCCAAAGCCCAGCCAGAGGAGGAGCAGGAGAGTCGGGGCCAGCTGCTCACCTCTTTTTAGGTGCCTGAGTGGTACGAGGTGGGGTGACCGGGCGTCCTGAATTCACCCCTCCATACTGATACTTAGCTTTTTTCTCTGACGGCTTCAGGATCTGAAAAGAACAGATAGCAGTGTTGACATAAGCCTACAGAGGATTTAAGGGAGATTTAATGTGCCATCAAAATTAACACGCTCTACCTGAAAAGAACACATGAGCGATTCGTCCACGCTCATCATGCCGCCTGCATTGTCAAACTCCCCACAGTAATTGGGAGCAGAAAACAGGGTCACCAGCTGCCGCTTTGCAAAGAACTCATAACCGTCCTCAACAACCTGTGGTGTGGCAGGATTAATACAAGATGACTGACTGAAAATTAACTGGCACCTATTTTGGTAATCAATTCAGTTATTTTTAAGGCTTGTTTTTTTTAAAGATTGTTTTGGTAGCTTAATGTTCCACTCAGTAAGCCAAAAATATTTTCTACTTGGTGGTTGTAAGTCATTCAAGAATATTTAGGGAACATGTTTTGCATACAAAATGATCAGCTCTGTTTTCACTTTCGAGCTGTAATAAATAAAAATGATTTAATTCAATTAAAACTGACCAAACTTGTTTTCATTAACAAATGGAAGTTTAATTATCAGCTGAGCCATTTTAAAACAGTTGTATGTCATCAAGTAGCTTGAGTGTTACCTGATGTGCTCGACAGATGAGGTCCAAGTCGTGGCGGTTGAGGAACTTGCTGACCACATCAGCCCCAAAGGTGAAGGAGACGCCCCGATCATTTTCACCCCAGCCCTGGACATCTTTGTCTGGATCAGACCACAGCAGGTCGCACAGCAAGCCTGGAATGTGGCACATTTAGGTCAGCAGTGCAGTCGAGTTGAGCAGTTACCCACCGACAAGTGCCTATTTTTGTAAACTTCTACATGTAATTGTATGTTTAAAAAACTGACATTTCACCTGTTGGTTAGTGAAACTGTTGTGAAGACTTGTTTCTGAGCGACATCTTGGTGTTTTAAATCCAAACTTGTCACCATGCACTGATACAGTAGAGACTTGTCAATCACAAGTCAGGCTCACCCTAAACCGTACATAACTGAAACTAGTCAGCAAGACCATAACCTCATCACAAAAGTGTTTATGGTACCATCCAGCAAAGTCGACCTCAAATTGACATTACTAGTCGATTTGAGCAGCACAGCCCTCCAGCTGCTGAAGCTGGAATAAGACACTTTTTGTAAAAAAAGGAAAAAAAAATGGTTTTAAAATTTCTGGTTTTGACTTGTCCTCTCATATGTCAGTGCTGATGTGGCGGTAGCTACGTGTACCATGACAGTGACCATAAATGGGCGTGGCTATGTGATGGAATTACCAGAAGTGATGGGTATGGTCACCCTGACTGGCCATTGTAAAAAATCAGTCTAAATGGGGGTTCAAAATGGAACAACTAACAGCGATATGGAAAGCAAAGATCCAGGAATGTCATTAACAGCCAGATGCTTCAAATGACAACAGATGAAAAAACTGTTAAGGACATGAAGTGGACCACTCCTGAGTTACATTTTTCCTCATCTCTGAGGTGAGTGATCTAAACAGCTCTGAGTGGGAACAAAGAAAGTGCTGACTGACATAAGGGGGTGGTAAAAACATAAGAGAGTTACCTAGACAACCAGAGCCTAAAATGTCCTGTAATGAGCATCTGTCAGCTACAAAGCAAGGCACCATGAGCAAATCGTTTCATATCTGGATGGGGCTTAAGGCACTATGACAATGGCTTTACTCTTTAAACCTCAAAGCTATGTCCATCCTTTATATACAGTCTACATGCTAAAGCAGTAGGTGGCAATGTATTCATAATTTTACAAAGTGGGAAATGACTACAGATACTGTATATATGATGATCTTCATGAATCTATTAACTTAAACACAGACCTGTGTCTGGGACATCAGTGGGTCTCATAATACGTCGGATTTGTTCCATGGACTGCAGATCAGGTGACAGTCCTGAGCAAAAGAGGACAGTATTTACTACATGCATCAGTAAAAAATTTAGACATGACAAAAACAAAGTTGACTAATGTCATGAATTACCAAGTATTTACTGTAGTTAGTAAAATATGTTAAGTTAATGCAATAGTAACAAGATATATTACTAGCTGAGCCCTCAAATGCATTCAAATATCTAAGACTGATAAATGGAGTAATTCTAAATGATCACTCACTGCCTATTTAGAGGCACACTTTTAATTCACGGAGACAAATTATTCAGCCGTACTTTGTTACCTCCCACATAACAGATGTTTCACAAACCTCCGTGACAGCAGAAAATCTTCTCATCAATAATCGCAGCAATGGGCAGACAGTTAAAACAGTCTGTGAATGTCTTCCAGAGCTTTATGTTGAACCTGCGTTTGCCTGAGGAAAATTTAACCAAAAACAATTTCCAATTCAGGTGTGTTATTTTACATCCATGAAAACCTCCGTTATCTCACAACCAGAAATGTTCACTTTTCACATTTTTAGCTTTCAGAAAATTCAATATATGTTTTGAAGTTTAATCATTATCAGATTACTTTAATAATCATGAGTTGTATTCTCTAGTGCAGTAAGCACTAGAGAATATTAAGGATTAAATCCAATGCTGATCAAACGTTTTTGTCTTTTACACATAATTTATTGCCATAGTGCTTATTTCCATTGAATAACAGAAAGAGAAAGGAAAATAGTTCTTCAGTTTGTATCGATACAAACCACAGAAGCAGCTAATCTTTACATCTATGAAACTGTAACCATCAAGTTAAATTAACAGAATTTAAATCTAACAGTATTCAGATGCAGGCAAGCACTGATTTTTCAACTTACATTCGTCATAGAAGCCGTAGATGCGATTGATGGAGGCACACTCGTGGTTCCCTCTGAGCAAGAAGAAGTTTTCTGGATATTTGATCTTGTAAGCGAGAAGAAGGCAAATGGTCTCTAATGACTGCTTCCCTCTATCCACGTAATCTCCCAGGAACAGATAGTTGGCCTCTGGCGGAAAACCTCCATACTCGAATAGCCTTAACAAGTCTGTGTACTGCCCATGGATATCACCTGAAATTAAAATTTTTACCTACAGTTTATTGATCTCATGTGATTATACAGATATATTTGAAAAAGAATGGCATATTTATAAACATATTTATAAAATGTGTAGTAAAATATTAAGCTCAACTTTATCAAATGCTGCACTGAGATCAAGCAGGACAAGCACACAGGTAAGTGCAGTGTCAGAGGCCATAAGGCAGTTATTCATAATCTTCACTAATGCAGTTTCTGTGCTACAGTGAACTACTGTGAATCTAAATATGGTTAACCTGGAGCAAAAATAACAGCATTGTGGGGTGGACTGTCTTGCTGTGAAGGGACTTAA